TGGGACTGGGTGTTGGAGGTAGAAGTGATATTTTTGGGTTTGAGATCATTACTACAGTAAAACTTGATGGTACAAATTATTTGGAGTGGGCACAATCAGCTAAGATGGCTATTGGTGCCCGTGGAAAATTAGGGTATCTCACTAGGGAGGAGAAGAAACCTGATACAGACTCTTCCCGATGGGTGTAGAAGAATTACATGGTAATGTCCTGGCTGTGTAATTCTATGTTCCTTATATTGCAAAAAAATTCCTATGGGCTAATACTGCTAAGGAGATTTGGGATGGAATGACTGAGACCTACCCTCATAAGCAAAATGAAGCCAGAGCCTATCAATTAAGGAATCAGGTGATAAGTATGAAATAGGGAGAAAAACCTCTTGCTTTGTATTTCTCCATGCTGAAAACCCTATGGCAGGAAATAGATCACTTAGAAACTATGGTATGGGAAAATGTAAATGATGCAGCAACCTATCACAGACTGGTAGAGAGGAATAGGGTTTTCGAGTTCTTGGCAGGGCTGAACCCTGAATTTGGCATTGCTAGGCAGCATATTCTTTCTAGGGAGGGTGTGACACTCTCTCAAGCCTATGCCTTTGTCTCTAGAGAGGAGAGTAGGAGGAATGTAATGCTGAGACAGCCTGGGRTTGACYAGTCGGCKATGGTTGGTACAACAAAACCTAAGCCGAATGGAGACAGGGGGAGTAGTGAGACTAGAAAGGGAAGATAAGAAGGACTTGGTGTGTGATTATTGCAAGAAGCCTAAGAATACCAGGGWCACTTGTTGGAAGCTTCATCCAAATCTTATGCCTGCCCAGATAAGAAACAAGAAGGGAAATGCAAATGCAGCCACTACAGGAGACTCTTCGGCCCCTCTTTCCCAAACTGATTGGGAATCCATTGCAGTAGCAACAGTGATAAAAGAATTGGAGAGGTTTGGACAGCTTATGAGTAAGAAAGATTCACCTAGCTCTAGCCTCCCAAATGGACAGCAGAATGCAGGAGCCAACTACACCACTTCCTTTACACATATAGGTAGTTCATATGCAATTGCAAATCTTGCATCCACTTCGAGTAAGGAGGGACTTCCCTGGATTATAGACTCGGGAGCATCTGAGCACATGACTAATGCCCCTACCCTTTTCAGTTCCTACCAATTGTGCTCTGGTAGAGACAGTCTCTCTACAGTAGATGGTTCACATATTCCCATTGCTGGGAAGGGGACAGTTAGAGTGACCAATGATATAACTCTGTCTTCTATTTTACATGTCCCTAGACTTCATACCAACCTACTATCTGTTAGTTCTTTAACAAAAAATTTGAATTGTTTCATGACCTTTCTTCCTGGTAATTGTGTTTTGCAGGATCTGGAGTCAAAGAAGATGATTGGGAGTGGTCGTGAGGTGAATGGAGTCTACCTTCTGGATGAGATTCCGAGACATCAGGGCCATCATGTTAGCAGCAGCAGTAGTAGTGGGTCAGARTCARTRAACCAGATTATGCTTTGGCACAATCGCTTGGGACATCTTTCTTTTAGTTCTTTGAAATGTCTTTTCCCAAAGTTGTTTGAGTATGTTAAGTTATCTACTTTGGAATGTGAGAGTTGTCAATTAGGAAAGTATTGTAGACAGTCTTTTAAACCAAGTAATAAAAGTACTTTTGCTTTTAATATTGTTCACACTAATGTATGGGGGCCCATATTATATCCCTTCCAAGGGAGGATTCCGTTACTTTCTCTTGTTTGTGGATGATTATACACGATTTTCTTAGATATATTTGATGAGATCACGTGATGAGGTTCCTAACATGGTACGACAGTTCCACCAGATGGTTCTCACACAATTTGGAGTGAGAACTAAGGCTTTTAGATCAGATAATGCCAGAGAGTACTTTGAGAAGGACTTGACCACGTATCTCTTAGAACATGGTGTAATTCATCAGAGCAGTTGTGCATATACACCGCAACAGAATGGAGTTGCTAAGAGGAAAAACAGACACATTGTGGAGGTGGCAAGGAGTCTTATGGTGTGTGCTTCAGTTCCTGTGCAGTTCTAGGGAGATGCAGTTCTTACAGCCGTGCATTTGATTAACCATGTTCATTTACGGACTTTGGGGTTTAAGGTGCAATTTAGTCTTCTTTTTCCAGATGGGGAGATATTTCATATACCTCTGAGGATTTTTGGTTGTGTTTCCTTTGTTCACATTCTTGGCCCTCATCGCAAGAAATTGGATCCTAAGGTCAAGAAATGTGTTTTTCTTGGGTATGTTCAAAACCAAAAGGGGTATTGCTGTTATGACCCAGTGTCAAGGAGCAGATTTGTTACTATGGATGTTACCTTCTTTGAATCCACCTTCTTCTTCTCGAGTGGTTCTCCTCAGGGGGAGAGTTTTGGGGAGGAGAACTCACAACCTGTTCCTCTTCCTGTTTCTTTGGTGCCTCCATCAGTTTAGCCAGCACCTGCACCTCCAGTTTCATTACCTGAGCCACTACGAGCAGCCTCACAGAAATATCAGCGCCGGCAGATGATGGTTGACTCCACACATCCTCAACCCACACCACTCTCTATCAGTCCTTCTGAAACTCCAGATTCGGTAGATACAGTTCCAAGTATTCCTCTTGAGCCTGAGCCTGTTATGTTTTCTGATGATAATGTTCCTATCCCTAACACCATTGTTGTAGCTAATCCCACTGACCTTGATCTTCCCATTACACTTCGTAAGGAGAAGAGAAAGTATATAGCCCATTGCATTTCACACCATCTTTCCTACAGTGCCTTATCACCCTCCTACCATGCTTTTCTTTCTTCCCTGGATTCTGTGTCTATACCCAAGAATGTTATTGAAGCTCTCTCCAAACTTGAGTGGAAAATAGCCATGCAAGATGAGATGGAGGCTTTGGTTAAAAACCAAGCTTGGGAAATAGTTGATCTCCCCCCAGACAAGGAGACAGTCGGATGCAGATGGATATTCAATGTGAAGTATAGGGTCGATGGCAAGATAGAGAGGTACAAGGCAAGGTTGGTAGCAAAAGGGTATACTTAGACCTATGGTGTCGATTATCTAGAAACCTTTGCACTAGTAGCTAAGATGAGTTCGGTTCGTATCCTTTTATCTCTAGCAACCACCTATTCATGGCCCTTGTACCAGCTTGATGTCAAAAATGCCTTCCTCAATGGTGATTTACAAGAAGAGGTATATATGGACATTCCAACAGACTTTTATGAAAATGTTGGTAAAGGAAAAGTGTGTAGACTCAGAAAATCTCTGTATGGACTGAAACAGTCACCTAGGGCTTGGTTTGACAGGTTCAAAGGGCACTCATCCGTTTTGGATACACAAACACAGTCTGATCACACCCTCTTTGTGAAGAGGAGAGATGCTCTGGTGTCAATTTTGATTGTGTATGTGGATGATATAGTTGTGATAGAAAATGATATAGAGGAGATTGATGATCTCAAAAATCATTGTAGCAAGAATTTGAGATCAAAGATCTTGGTGAGCTTAAATACTTCTTGGGGATTGAAGTTGCAAGATCCAAGCATGGGATCTTCATTTCACAGAGAAAGTATGTACTTGATCTACTGTGGGAGACTGGAAAGCTGGGGACCAAACCAATAAACACTCCTATTGATCCAAATCACAGAATTAATGGTGTAGATGGTGAGTTGGTAAAGGATGTGGGGAGATATCAAAGAATGATGGGCCGACTGCTGTATTTGTGTATGACACGACCAGATATTTCTTATGCTGTCAGTGTTGTGAGTCAGTACATGCATGCACCTCTGAAAAAGCACCCTGGCAAAGGCATTCTTTTCTCAAATCATGGGAATCTAAAGCTAGAATCCTATACAGATGCAGACTGGGCAGGATGCTTAGATGACAGGAGGTCTACATTAAGAGTGTGTACCTTTGTAGGTGGAAACTTGATCTACTGGAAGAGTAAGAAGCAAGCGGTTGTGGCAAGGTCAAGTGCAGAGGCTGAGTATAGATTAATGGCTCATGGTGTCTCAAAACTTCTTTGGGTTAGATCTCTTTTGAATGAGATTGAGGTGAAAGCAGAGGAACCTATGATGCTATACTGTGACAATCAAGCTGCAATCAATATTGCCCACAATCCAATTCAGCATGATAGGACAAAACACATTGAAGTTGATAGACACTTTATAAGAGAAAAGGTAACAACTGGAGAAGTTTRTTTGCCTTATGTCTCTTCAGAGTTGTAGCTGGCTGATGTTCTCACTAAAGGGGTGGCAAAGAACAAGCTTGAACATGATCTACGCAAGTTGGGAATGTATGACATTTACTCCCAACTTGAGAGGGAGTGTTGAAGATTAATCAGTTTTATGATGTTTTTCTGAGTAGATGTTTTATGTTAGTTGTTAGATAGAAGGTGGGGACCACAGTAGTTATGTGAGTCCAAATTTTATTATGTTTTTGAGTCTTACATATGTTGTTTTATGTTTTGCCGCCCTATAAGGGCATAGTTGTCTTTGTACTGCTCTATTATTTTTAGTATAAATAATAAGTGAAGGGAGCGACCAGATTATTGCCCTCTTTTCTTTTCAACTTCTTCTCCTTCTCTCTTCCTTCTCTCTTCAAGAAACTACTTTTCTTTCATATTTTTTAATTCAGCAGATTTCTACCCAAGGATTTCAAGTTATTAATGCATGCAATATGAAGGAGAAGCACTAGAAAGCAAGGTATTAAATCTGCACCTTGGACAAAACTTAGTTAAAGTACAAAGAATTCTGCATAAGACCTATCAAAAAATGGTCACTTGGAAACTATTGAGTTTTGTAATTTTTATGCATAGAAAGTATGTGACAACAAATGCCTTTCTTACTGTAACTCTGTAAGCATATAAAATTTTCTTCAGAATTGGGTATAGGGGGACCTAATTTTTTTATTAATTGGAAGACCTAATTTCACCACATCCAACAAAAAAGAGAATGAAAATGACAGAAAACTAAATAGTTGAAGACTGCATGGAACTAGAAATATACCGTAGCATAATCACTTGCAATGAGATGAGCAGAAAGCAAACCTCCAAGGATCCGGATTGTAGTCTCAAAAACAGATACTGTTTTGTTCTGCATGTTGGATGGAAAATAGTCTCCAAAGCTCAGAGTTACAAACTAAATGAGCAAAGTACAACTTCCAATAACATCGAAATTTTCTTACAACAGACAGACAATTGCAGAAGGCAGCACATTCAACATGAAAAAGGATATACAGAGGTGATTGCTAAAACTTTGTGCCAAAAGAGAAGAAGTTAGGTCCATATCCAGTCTACCTCTCCCAAGACCTTGTATAACCAGGAGGTCCAGAGGCATTATTGGGTAGTTGCCTTTTGTGCTGAAGCATTGCACATGTTGATTTCCATGTTTTAGCTCTTTCCTAGGGTTGTTTGAGTATAAGAATAAATTATGAGGTTTGGTTTTTATTCCTTTTTCTTTTCTTGCACATGAAGTAACCTGTCAGTGGACATGCAGACTGTAGGGGTATTTTGTCCAGTTTTGCACAAACACGGACACGTGAATCAGAACTGGCATGTATCCAAGATTCTAACTCAGCAGATGAGAAAACATGACTCTTGAAGACATCTATGGAATAAGTATATACTATTAACATAGTTCAAATGTTTTTGAATTCTATGTATTATAGCTGCAAAAAAAGTTGTTTTTGTTAACATGTAATTTCAGTATGAAAAATGGCATTTATATTGTAACTTATCTGTTCATTTATGTCAATATGTCATATAAGCCAGGAGACAGGAAAGTTTTCTCCAAAAAACCATGGAGTGTCAGACTCCAATGCATGTCTAACATGAAGACAACATCAATTTAAGAAGTCCATGCAACACTAATTTTGCCCCTTTGCTATGTTTCAGTTGAGATTTCATTCACTCTTGGAGCCAAATCTTAGACAGCAATTTTATTCTGTCTCATTCTCCCTCTTTCTTGCTATTTTCTAACTATCTCTTGTATTCTTTTGGGATTGTGGTCAGCCCCATATCTAATCTAATTCTTTGTACAAGCTTTAGTCTTTTCTGCATCAACAGTTTTTGTTGGTCAAATTATTTACTGAAGAAGTCTAAATGACCTAGAGATCTTCCATTTGGCAATTATGATTTGAGGGTCCAATTCCTCTCACCATCCCCTCTATTCATAACGTAAATTTCAGCTCAAGTCCCCTGCCATATGGCCAAGATAAGCCTTCATTTTGGGCTCCTCATCCATCTGGATCTTTCTATCATGCCTCCTTTTTCCATATTCTTTGCCCTCCCTTAACCCCTGTGCAGGCCTTTTCTTTGAAAGAGATTTTGTGCAGCCCTATTCCCTCTAGAATTGAAGCTTTTCATTGGGAGGTTTTCCATGAGAAGATATAGCTGTCAATGGGTCATGTTGGGTCCCGGATAGGGTAGAACCAGTTCCAAACCAGATCCTATCAGTTCTGTAAAATCAGACCCAGAACCAAAGTACCAAACCGATTATTAATTGGGATAATCAAGTTTGACTCGATTATACTTGTCATCTATAATCACCTATAATATAACAACTCAGAACTTAATTTGAGAGTTGGAGACATGGTGAGGAGCTTTGCAAAGACTGGGAGATGGAGGAGAGTAGTGAAGGTTGAAGCTAAAACTTTTCTGTTCAAGAGTTTCAGAACCCAAGGTAGGATTACTATGAAGGCAAGGGAGATGAACATGGTGATGGTGCTGTTAGTAGGGATAGAAGTAATAGAATGGTTTCAAAGTTTCTTGGAAGAAGCTCTAAATCTGAGAAGAGAGGTTGCTTACAAGAGTACAAACATTGAGGCAGGAAGAGAGTTTAAGGCAGAGAGAAAACCAAATGTTAAGGGGCTATTTATAACTCTATGAATTCTTTGGAAGAGGAAAAAAAACAGGTGATATGTTTACCTGAAGGCAGCAAAATCAAAGGATGGGGGGAGATTTAACAGTGCTACAAGATTTCTTGAAGCAGAATGAACAGCAAGAAGCCCAGTTTTCCAACCAAGAACTAGTTCATTGACAAATCTGGAGAAATGGAGGCTATGGAGGAGGAGGAGGTAACTAAAGCTGTTCAAGCAGTTTTTGGAAAGGAGATCCCAGAGTTGCAGGATGATAGCCAACGGAGGAATGGAGGACTGGCAAGAAGTGGGTAGTTCAAACCAGGGAGCATCCACAAGACTGGAAGATAGTCACAGAAGCTTTGTTGAAGGAGTTAAAGTTAAAAAGTTCCATTATTATTACCCCTTCTGTGTTGATTTAACGGAAAATGAGATAGAAATAGCAGCGGTAAGCTTGAGAGGGAAGGCTCTGGCATAAGGTTGTAGGAAGTATTCATGGTCGTGCAGATAATGGTTAGGATGCTGGTGTATCTTGGCAGGCCACCTTGAACTCTCCATGGAAGGCTATAATCGAGGTTCTCCCCCACTTTTTGAGCCTCATGAGGTATGACGTCTGTTCTGGTGATAAGGTTCTTTTCTGGGAAGGCATCTGGATTGGTAACTCTGCCCTAAAGGATCAATTTCCTTCTTTGTTTTCTTTTCTCTTTAAAAATGAACCCATTCAAAGCTTTGTGTCCCTTTCTCATTCTTTGGGTTTTAATTGGAACTTGGGTTTTAGGAGAGACCTGAGGGATTCAAAGATTGATTGTGTGGCCATGCTTCTCAAGACTCTTGAACCTATTTGCCTGGACCCCTCTAAACCTGATGCGTGTGTTTGAACCCCAACTCTTTGGGTTCCTTCTCTTGTGCATCCTTCTTCTATTCCTTGTGTTCTGTGTCTAACCCCCAGTTGTCTTTGTGTAAGGAAATCTGGTCTAGACCAATTCCCCCTAAAGTGAGGGATTTTTGTAGGGAAGTGTCTCTTGGAAAGTGAAACACCTTGGACAACTTGCAAAAGAGAAGACCCGGTCTAGTATTTCCCCAAACTGGTGTATACTAATATCCTGCCCCTTTGTTGTAGGTCTCTGGGAAAAGATTTTTGGTACTTTTGGTTGCATATGAACTGAGCCTTCGCATATTAATAGCCTCTTTGATCCTACATCTTTCAGATGGCCTAAGAGGAGAGGTAAGACTATGTGGCGATGAGTTAAGGCGGCTCTAGTGTGGGCAGTTTGGGAGGAAAGAAATGCTAGAACATTCAATGATAAGGAGAGAGATGAGGTTGCGGTTTGGGAGTGTCTACTCAACAGGGTTATAAATTGGATTAAAGCCTCTGACAATCTGACTATTTTTCACATTACTTTACTCCTTTGATGACCTATGGCGGAATTGGGGACTGATTGCAAAAGGTTCAACTGTCAAGGAGAAGCCTGTGATAGAGTGGGGGCCCCCTAAAGAAGGATTTATCAAGTTGAACTTTGATGGATGCAGCTTAGGCAATCCGGTCCCTCTGGGATTGGGGAGTATTCAAAAATGCAGATGATGACGTTTTAGCTTTATTCTCAGGTCCAATTGGAGTAGGGAATGCTGTGAATGGGGAACTCCTTGCAGCCTCACAAGGAGTGGAGCTTGCTAGAGAGTTGAGCTTTGGCAGATTACTAGTTGAAGGTGACTCTAAACTGGTAATCGGGTGGCCAAGGGAACCAGAGAAACCACCTTGGTAATTTAGGGGGGCTTTGTGAAGAATTAAATGGCTAACCACAAGCATTGAAGTAAGGTTTCATTGGGAAAGAAGATCATCAATGGAGTTGCTGATTATTTAGCTAAGCAAGGGGTACACAAGAATCAGTTATTCTGGGCACAGATGTAATTAGCGTTTTACTCTGAGGCTGCAGCTCGCGCCTCTGTGGTTGTAGTGTCCATCTTTGTACCTTTCTTTTGCTTCTCTTTAATTTCAATAAAATACATATCTTATCAAAAATAATTGCAGCAGTAAGCTTCAAAATAGGTTCTGGTATTGTAACAGTCTCAAGGTGGTGTCCTCTGTCTAACGCAGAAGAAGCTGGAGTAGAAGATAATATTATCGTTAGAATCATTGGGTTGCCTTTTCATCTGTGGAAAGAAGTTTTTGAATCCCCTGTGTCATTATGCAGTGCTCAGCTTGTCGGCATTTTTGCCTACTGATCTTCACTCAGTAGTTTTAAAGCTAAATGGCGTCAAACCAGAAGAAATACCCAGAAAGGTGGAGGATTTTACAGATGGTTTGTCTTATTGTGCGGTTGACAACCTCCATGGAAGCTTCATTCTGGAAGGAAGGTAGAAGGGAGGAAGATGAACAGGTAGAGAGAGATAGCTTACATGGCAGGCGTTGGCTCGTTGGGGCAGAAGGAATGGGAAATTACACCAAATTGGAAGAACAGAAGCTGTGCACAGAGAAATCAAAAAGGAAAAGCAGTGACAGGTGATTGGTCGTATGCTCAGGCACTGACTAATGGCATTAAAGAGGTTAAGCACACACAAAAAGAAGGGGAACTGAATGTAGGCTCAAAGATTGGTCGAGAGTTGTAGGGGTGAAGCAGACCAGAGAGAGTTGAGCCAGGTAGGACTAACAGTCCAAATCCCCCTGTGTGACTCTTTAAGTAGTCACGTGAAGAAGTCAGGTATTAATGTGGGTACTGAGCCTAGTTGTTTGAAGCCTGAGAATACAGGCCTGATTGAAAAAATTGGGCTGAGCTTTAGGCCCAAAAAGGGAGAGGCACATGACTGTTTAAAGTCTCACGTGAATCAAGACAAAGGGCCAATGGTAGATGATTCTTCGGGTCCACAATCGTCCTCGGCCAGGGCTCATTGGTCAGGATTAGGTAAGGCAAACACAGTGGCTCACTCAACCTTGCAATGGATCCTGAGTTAGGAAAACAATGTGGTTCTCTAGAAAGGCGTAACCCAAAGTTTAACCAGCTCAAGCGACAAAAGTTTTGATTCAGATTCCCATGAATTGCCAAGCGTAGGCAGTGTCAATGAAGACAAGACTTCGGTTATAGAAGAAGTCAATAGTTTCCACACGGATGTTCTTTTTAAGGAAGATTTTGAAGTTGCTTTTGGTAAAGAAGCTGAAACGAGTTTGGATAGGACAATCAAGGCACCTCAAACAATGAAGGTGACGGAACCTGAAGCCAAAGTTCAGCAGGTCACTGTCCCTTTCTCAGAGGAGCCATTACATGTATTGAAGTCAGGGTGTCAGTACAGTGGAACCTTTCTCTTCTCAGAGGATTTGTTCAGACTGTCCAGGGAGGGGTGAGCTTGGAAAGGCTAAATCCACAGAAAGAGTTGTTTCCTGTCCCAAGTACACTGATCAACAAACTCCTTTGTGTAACCAGGTTGACCCTTCTAGTCCAGTCATGGGCCAGGAAAATGTTGTGGTCTCCTGTTCTTTGCCTCAAAAGCCAGGTACCTGTGCAAATTCAGTTTTGGTTACTTAGTTGGGTGTTGAGCCTGTAGTAGGTGCTTCTGTAGACTGTCCAAGTGCTCTGCCATTGCCAGAAGGGGTGGATAGAGGTTTATGGGTTAAGGAAGGAGAAGCAGGGGAAAGATAGGGAAGAAGCTAATGGAAACTGGGCTCTAATAGGTGCTTTCCTTGCAGAGCTTAAAGAAAAGGAAATAGTTGGAAAAGAGGAGGCAGGGCAAAGAGGCTAGTGAAGTTAGAAAGGAGGGATTTGCCAGTCAATGGACGAGGGATTTCTGATCAAAGATGGAGATATCTTTCACAGATGAGGTTCATTGCCTGTATGGAGTCAACCTAGTGAAGGGCATATGACGCTTCTATGCAGCAGAAGTTGTAGATATGAACCATTCAAATGATACCAATGAAAGAAATGGAGGAGGGGCAGCTGGGTCGCAGAAAGGAGAGAAGAAAAAGTGGAAGGAAATGGAGTGATGCAGGATGTGGCGACTCGGACGGAAGGTTTGGGAGAGATTAAATTTCCTTAATGCAAGTCTAGTAGAAAGGTTTGTTGGGTTTGAGTTGGAAGAAGAAGAGGTGGAATCTTGGGCGGGGTTTGAATGGGAGAAAGAGAGAGTTCTGGGTGTTTGAAAGCTGAACGAAGGCCTGTTGTTATTAATGTTCCATTCTAGAGAAGATGCAGAGTGGGTCCTGAGTTTAGAAGAAAAGAAGAGCAGGGAGTGGTGGTTCCCAGCAGCAGGTTTGATTCAAGCGGGGCGAAGGAGGAGAGCAATGTGGATTGGGTTCCTCGGTATTCCTCCACATGTGTGGTGTCTCTTTACTTTTAAAGTTATTGGTAATTTTTTCTGTAAGTACGTGAGGTGTGATGATAGAAATAGATGTTGGAAGAAAATTGATGTGGCTAGGATCCTGGTGGAAGTAGATGACATCGCGATTCAGTGTCAGCATTTGGCAAATCATTATAATCAGTTCAGTTTGGTTCTGTTGGGTAGACCCAACCCATTGACAGATCTATGAGAATATCAATACTTTCAACTCTCTTCAAAAGAGATGGGCAAACTAGTGCTTATCCCCCAATTGGTGCATTCTTTGCAAAACTACTAATTAGACCTGCTATCATTTACTAATCTTTTGTCCATTTGTTACTTTGGGAATGGTTATTCTCCTTATTTGAGTGTAGTTGGATTTTCCTTTGGAAGTAGCCAGCTTGTTCTCCTTATCAACATTTATAGGGCCACAGAAAAGAAGAAGAATTATGTAGAGGTGCACTAGAGCAGCAGTTGTTTGGACAATTTGGGATGAAAGCAATTGAATAATCTTTAAAGACCAAGAAAGTAGGAAGGTAGGGCATTAATTGAATGCATACAATAAGGATGGCACATTGGATAATATCACTGGATGCATTCTCACCTTTCTCCCTTGATGATATTTTAAGTGGGGGAAGTGGCTGCAACCTCTTCTAAGAGGAATGTGAAGCATAGACAATGGACACCACTTAAAAAAGATTTTATTAGGCTCAATTTTAATGGAAGCAGCCTCGTAAACTCGGGTCCTTCCAGAATGGAAGGTGTATTTAGGGATGAAGAAGGTGAAGCAAGGGCTTTATTCTCGGGACCAATTGGAGTTGGGGACTCTACAAGAGCAGAACTCATGGCTGTTCTTCAGGGGAGGCAACTGGCAAAAGACTTGAATTCTAACAAGATAATCATTGAAAGGAACTCAAAAGTGATGAGCAGTTGACTGAAGAATAGTGAGAGAGTGTTGTGGTCCTACAAAAATGAAGTCTGGAAAGTTTAAATGGCTGACAAGGAACACACATGTAAAAACACAACAGGTACAAAGGTCAGCTAATGCATTAGCCTAACAAGGTGCTACCAGGGAGCAATTGTAAAGAGGAAGTCTGAGTTTGGGAATGATAGAATTTTTTACCCTCCCTAAGGGTCTGTAAGCTATGCACATATCCTGTTAATAATTAAAACAATTTTAATACTTATCAAAATAAGCCCTTCAGCCTTCTTTTGGAACATCTTTTAAATTGAACATCTTTTCACGGCAAAGTGTCAATATAGTCTGGTCCACACTGGGGACATGATGCATCTTTACAATTTAAGATTTCTGATAATTTATATGTTGATATATTTCAAAGTTTCAGGATCACAGAATTAGAAAATGTTACTTGTTCAAGCCAGTAAAGCCAATGCAGCATATGAGGCACTTACAATATCAAAATGAAGGTTTTTACCAATCCATTCAACAGAGGCAGCAAATCTCTCACGATCGCCAAATAAGGCTAATGTGTCCAAGGAGTCAATCTGTTTTATCATGAATGATCAAAGCATATTTAAACAAAATTAAACTGGGAAAAAAGTTCGAACAAACAAAAGATGGGATTATCTTATTACAAGTGTTAAGGCATAACCACCAAGTGTGTCTTCTCCTGTACATGTCAGAGGTCTCAACTCATCAAGTGGAAAAGCATGCTCCATGTAACCATCAAAGGCATGGTAGAACATTTCACGCACCTATAGGAAATAACAGATATATCACCAACTAAATTTCTCAGAAAGTTGTGAAGTGTAAATTTACAAGATATATTAAATAATAATCAACTACCATTTCATAAATAATTAATAGTGTATCAAACACACAGACAATACTGTTTAAGAGACATAAACTACAATATTAGTCAATATGAAAATATGTGTTATCATTCATCTAAAAAACATGACTATGAGAGTAGTTACGGTTTCTTTGTGTTTGACATATTAGTCGATAAACTCCTTAAAGCACTCTAATCCACGGTATTTTCAGCTAACATCTTCAGTTGAACAGGAAAGAACAAAACCAAATACCCTGGGACCAGGGTGCATATGCTTTGGAACAAAAAAGAATAAAATAAATTTTCTCCAATAGATGTGTATCAACTTAAGCACATAATTAGATAGAATTTTATCAAAACCTTAGAACAAACACCAAAAAGAATTCATTAGTAGAATATGCCTATGAGGGCGATTTCTCTACTAATGGATCTCTGTCAGTGTGTCCAGGAACTACGTTTTGCAGTACATAAATACAGTAAAATGGAATGTGGCTTTGTTGAGTTGAAACATTATAATAGATATGGTAAAGCTAGATTTTTTTCGTTTTGGCACTGCACGAGAAAACCTGAACCAATATCATGATGTATGCCGGGCCTTTCAATCATCTCATATGACGGTGAATTTAAGCATTAGGTCAGTTTAAAAGGAACTAGAGAACCCCACGATATCTAAAATCAACTAAAAAAAATTGTAAATGAGAGTCGACTGGTTATGTTAGTGAAAGTTCGCAACCTCGATCCGTTGAATTATGCTCTTAGCAAAAGGAAGAAATTCGAAGATAATCGGCTGTAATAAAAGAACTACCTTCCGATACGTTCCGGGCCAAAAACAGATCAATCATGAATTTCAATCAAACAAGTTCCTATTTTCCTTACAATTAGAAATTCATAACAGTTGACCCTCTTAAAACTATCAAAATATCGGAAAAGAAAATGAGCTATTCTGGCAACATAGACAAGAAAAGGCACCTCGTCTCTAAGCTGTTTAGCTTCATCGGGAGTAACACCTTCTGCCACAGCTCTGTCGACAGAAATGGCAGAGAATATGAGAACGAATACACATAGAATTGATGATGGCTTCAGCATTTTCACCGCTTTCTCCATTCCTTCGCCCCGTCTTGGTTGTGTCAAACATCCGATTTGATTTTCCCGGTAGAGCTCTTGGCTTGGGGTCCTCCCGAGTTCCAAGCTTCACCGTCTGCGGCTGCGAAAAATCAGTGCGCCTGTGAGTAGAAGCCGGATAAAATTGGTTCGCCACTCTCTCCAGGAAGCTGCAGCCGGAGCGATCTTTGTAGGGAATTGCCAGATGGCAAGATCAGTGATCGGATTGAACGTCGCCGGTCGTGATTTTGTTTGGATACCGGATAGGCGGTTGGGAATGATTTGAGAGGCCATGTTATTTCGTATTTTTTAGTAGCTATACTATGGGAAAAAAATATTGGATAAATATAAAAAACCTCCCTGAATTTTCTGACAATGATAAAGACGAGGTTTTATTTTAACAAAACCTTTTATATTTTTGAAAAAACTTGCACCAACCTCCCTTCTAACTCCAAATGAAAAACATTAGGTAAAATACAAAAACTTCCCTAATGTTTCTCTGACAATCATAAAAAGCTCTTTAATAATATCTCTCTTGAAATTCTAAAAAATTAGATAAATACCTCCTTTCCATCACTAACCTACACCGAAAATGTTAAACTGATGCATCCAATTTTTCCAAATTTTGCCGGTCCCCATATATACTAGAAAGGAATATCCACCTCCCTATGTGTGTATCCGTAAAAACCCTTCAACAAAATTACCATTTTTAATCTTCTATAGTAGAAATAAAGCAAAGCCCAAACAAGCAAAGATATTTTTGTCACTATTGCACAAGAGCAGAAGGAAGTGCCTTTAAAGCAATAACTGCAGTTGTAATCCGTCATTCTCACGATTACAATTGGGCATGCCTCAGCATTACTCACCTTCTTTGCAATTACAACTGCAGTTCGGATCAGGTAGGCCAGACGTTGCAAGTTCCTTAAATGAGCACTTACAAAATTTTATGACACTTGTCCCATCCCTTATAATTAGACCTGTTCATGGGTTGGATGGCCCGATAGGCCGGTTCGACTCCCAGACGGGCTTGAATAGGCTTTTTGGCCCGTGGATTTAACTTTGGGCCAAAAAGCCCGGCTTGCATAAAATTCGAGCCGGGTTCGGGCTTTGCCAAAATAGCTCAGCCCGGCCCGACCTATAGTTAAACCTAAGTAAAAACCCTATGTGATGTCCATTTGAATAAATTTTTTGATTTGAAAAAGTTGTTGATTCATTTATAGGCCCATTGTTCATTTAAATAGGGGAAAAAACATCTGAATTAAAATAGATAATGTCTATTTGAATAGGGAAAATTTTGAATTTCTTTTATTAGATCGGGCTTTTTATTAGAGCCGGGCTTGGACCCAAATTGTAGGCCCGTTGGTCGGACCGGGCTCGAGCTCGGACCTAACATTTTTCTATTAATAAAGAATCAAAGCCCGGCCCGGCCTGACCCATGAACAGGCAGGTCTACTTACAATTAGGCATGCCTTCACCCAAAAATGCGCTTCCACTGTTCCAACACCATTCCCACCAGCCCTACAATGCCATGGCAATCAGGATCTCTCTTGAGCCGCATCACTCTTTCTCTAATGCCAACAATGCTGTTACCAAATTATTATTGTTGTTGTAAGGATGTTGAACCCATAAAGGATTCACTAAATTGTCCTCGGCTTCTATGTACATTGTTGTTTTGCTGATGAGGAGGTTAATGACAGAGATGGGCATCTTTATTGAGGCCAAGAGCAGCAACGAAAGTCAGGGTTTGGGTCTTCTCTTGGTGTTCTTCCCAGACGACGAGAATGGCAATGACCACAACAAATACATCCACAGGAAGAAAAAAATGCTCACATCTTCATCCTCCTCCTCCTCCTATTCTTCTTCGTCCTCACCTTCTTCATCCATGAAATCTTTTGGTTCCTACAAATATGGTAGCAATAACCTCCTCATCAACAAAGCGCAATCAGCAATGTCCATTTATGCTCATATAGTCTTCTTTACTCTTCTCTTCACTGTGCATTTTCGAACCCACTTATCCAAAACTAATGCCATTAATTTTCTATCTCCACCCAAGACTATACTCCCTAGAAGATGGCTCGTTGAAAATTCCAAAGGCTACCAAAATTATAAGAACAAGAGCAAGCCGCCTTCCTCCTCTTCTTCGTGTTTTCTTCAATTTGGAAGAGGGAAGTTTATCGTAAAAAATCTAAATTCGTTTTGGATTATTCGCCTACTCTGCAAAGAGTGGGAAATCTGTTTGGGAGAGGAACCGGAACGATGAGCGATCTTGTTGTTGCTCATATCATGCAGGGAAGTACAGATGATGAGTGATATGGTCTCATTGCGCAATCGGATGTTGCGCTTATCTTCCATTCGTCCTCTTTAGCTTCCCTTGGCATCTCTTTGAATTTTTCTCCAGTAATTTGGGAAGAAAAGGATTCGTTCTTAAAGCTCGTCCGTCATTGCAGAGAAAATAATAATAGTTCGACTACCGGGCAGTTGGTGGGTTTTGATGTAACCCAGTTTGTGAAATCGGATAAGAAGGAAAAGAAGGTGGGAGAGCCATTGCTTATAAAAAAGGATGGACGATTTGCATTTATCACTTTGTGTTCGTTCGAACTCCAAATCTCGCCCATCCATCTCTCTCGCCTTCTATTCATACCTCGTCTTTTTGTTTGGGTGTAAGTAAATATTTGTTTTAGACCATATTCACTCTGTAACTCAAAGGATCCAATGCAAGAAGCTTCAAAATCAACATGACAATTAGTCAAGGGTAATTTAGTAACTTTAAAATTTTCATCGGACTTAGTGACGGAGTGGATGCTTTTGTTGACTTTTTAAAAGTTCAGAGAGGTATTTGTTAAAATGAAACTAAAGGAAAGATTTTTATTATTATCAAAAACTTCAGAATGGTTTTTCTATTTTACCCTAAATATAAGGTTAAATTGCTAAAACCTCCCTTGTACTTTCTGACTGTGGCGGTTCAGTACCCTAATTTGTTAATTGCATCATCCTTCTATAAACTTTATGACATTATTGCATCTATACCCCTTCATTAACTCAACTTTAGAATGTTAACCAAAATTGATGATGACATCATCTCAACATTTTTAAATGTTAAGATTAAGATTGCCCTTAGATGAAAATATGTGGCTTTACACTAACCAAACTGCCCGGGGAAGAATCATCTATATCTTGCTTGAAGAGTGGATTAGAACCCACCCTAACTCTCACCAACCTCAACCCACCTGCTTTGATTTGTATATTCACTACTCTCAATATTTTTCTCAAAACTCAAAGAAAAATGTAGGAATCGCAAAATTTGATAAAAATTTAAAAAAGCCAAAGTTAAAAAAACATATAAAATTATATGATTTTCTTAAAAAATAAAATTCAACCAAAAAATCAGAATTGCATAAACATACATAAAACGATAAAGTTTTAATAAAAACGTAGAAATATAGAAAATATACAAATTTCATAAACAATATTATATATACATATAAATAATTCAACAAACTATAAAGAAATTATAGAAAAAAGCACAAATTTTATGAATTTTATGATCAATGTAATATGGAAAGGCAAATTTAGAAGCCAATTAACGATTCAAAAGGTCAAAGTTGGGTATTTTGGGTTAAAATAATGGAGGGGTGTAGATGCAACAATGTCAAAAAGTTTAAGGGATGACACTGCTATTAGCATGCATAAAGCAGGGTACTAAACCGCAATTGTCAGATAGTATAATGGAGGTTTCAGCAATTTACCCTTAACCTAATGCATTAATTCTTTGAAAATACCCATTTACCCTTATGCTTATTAATTCATTTAAATGTTTACTAAAATACCCCCAAACCAATTTTTAACTTTTAACTAAAAAAGTTGTTTGGGTCAAATTGAAAAGAATGAAATACTTTTAATATGTAAATTGTCAAGTAGAGTGAAGTTTGGAAGGGCAAATCTAACATTAATTACGTAGAAAGATGTACTAATAAGTAGTTAGGGTAATTTTGTAAATTCGAAGTTTCCAATGACAGAAGAAATGTAATTGTCTTCCCCCTGGCTGAATTTTGAGAATTCAGATTAGTTGAACACAATAATTATAAAGAACCCAATGATAACATCCCACGTCAATGACAAAATGCATGGGGTCATAGTGACAAGTTGAATGGTTGTGGGTACCATGTATTAAAAAACTAGTGTGGACCGTGGAGAATTATTGTTAGTCCTACAGCCTACTAAATAATTATTGCATTCAGTTAATCCTATATTTATTTTTTTATGAAAAAACCCATGATTGAGAAAATTCATGTTGTTGTTTACCACTTGTATGATGTCAATTGATTGATTATAAACTTTGTTGTATCATGTCTTTGTAGGATCGCTGTCAAATATATTAATGTGATTCAAAGAAATTTAAATATAGACCAAAGAATTAACCCACCACAACTCTAGGGGAGAAGGTTTTTAATCCTTTGGGCTATGTTTGGTTTAAAGGAAAAAGTAGGGAAAGGAAAGGAAAGGTAGGGAAACCTTTACAAACCTTGTATTGGTTTCCCTACCTTTCATTTATTTTTCCTACTTTTTCCTTCAAACCAAACACAGCCTTGGGACACATGAATGGTACCTATTTAATGTTCTACAAATATAGAAAATACGACTTTATCAAAAAAAAATGGCACATTCTTTATCAAACCAAAGTCATCTCAAAGGGTGGCCTACTACAAACACTTTGAGAGCACACCATCCAACCCCACATCGGAAATATCTCCCTTGTATGTTAGATTCATGGATAGATATTCACAATGTGTGGCTGGATGTGGTGCTCTCATAGTGTTCACAAGGTCTTTGCTTTTAGGAAATCCAATATCTTCTTTATCATCCACTGGTAGGCCTATATGATAACAATCGTTGATCCTTCAAAGCTAAAATAGAATTATGAGAGTCAAAATGCATTTCAACCAATTTCTCTTCATATTCTCAGCAGAAAAATATCACTTTGAAGATAAGTTCATAGTTTTGTTTCAATACTCTTATGCAAAAAGTCCAAAAGGACACCTACAAGGCTGCAAACAAGGGTGGAACCATCCATTGGGGGCGAGAGGGAGAATAAACATGGATTTTGGGGCATAAGGAGACCAAGGCTCCCCTAGGTCCCCTTGCATCTGCCTCTACCTACAACTAAAACAAAGTGCTTATCAATATTAAGTCCAATAAAACCATATGGCTTAGTTTGGAAAGAGTCCAAATATAAATATTTAAGGTGCAAAACCTTGTATATTTTGTATGGGTAAA